AATTCATAGTATTGATCTGGAAACGATTGTCAAAAGTGCTATCCTGGTCAGTGCTATTTTTTTTTTTTCGTGAAAGTTAAAATTGTTAAATGTCAGCCAGGGATTGCTTCGGGGTCTTTCACTTCATAAGAGGTCCAAATAGGGCGGAATCATAACGAAATGCAACTCGTTAGGGACCAGAAGTGTAATTTCGGCGGCTGCACGGAATCCAACAGTCTAACGAGCAGTATGATATGACAGAAATACATCTTGGCAAAATAATCGAGATTGTGATGAACATCGAAGAGTCTTTTGGAAAAAAAAATACAAAAAGCGCTCGCTTGCTTTCCATTTCCTTGCTCCTAAAAAATGCTAAACAATCGGCAACACGGTAAAAAAAAGTTATTAAATTACAAAAAAAGTTTTGTTAAAAGAAATCCGCGTGTAAACGATGGATCAAAATACCTGAAAATTTCGATGGTACCTCGTAAATTTTATGAAGATTGAAAATTCAATCCCGCCAGTGTGACAACCAATCTGTCTTCGAATCATTCACTCGTTCCGATAGTAAATTAGTACTGGGTAGATGCCAGAGAGTCAAACCCGCCGTCCACTGACTTGTTATTAATGCTTGAAAGAGACCATCGACACGCTTACCAGCTAGTGGTTGTTGTTGGCACTTGCTACCCTTAGAAGACCCAGTGCTTTAAATCCTCCCATAGATAACGAATACGGAAAGAATTTTGACTTTGCCTTGATGTAAATGGTCACTCAATATCGAAAGGCCTCAAAATCCACGATCGAAAGGCCTCATAAAGTTATCTTTGCCAGGCCTTTCGATCCTAGGCAGAGTACTCAGTATTCTTAGTAATAGCCTATAGTTTTACTAGTGATTCTTAGATGTCCAATTTGATTCATTATTTTTCACAGGTAAAAGAAGGCAAGCTTAATCGTGCTCCGCAAACACTGGTGCTCATGGAGGGAATCTGGCCACCGGAATTAGTACCACTGTTCCTGAAAGATGGCGCTTTCCCGCAGTATGCTGATGACGATAAGCCAAGCAGCATTCGGAGTAGCAGTAACTCACTTGTACCACCTTCGTATGCTCCGTCCCTCAGTGAGGTAATTTTCCTCCTACGCTGTTTCCAAGTCAACGGCAGAAAACAGGACGTGGCATTGCGTTAATAAAGACTACGTTGAAAATTTCCCGAAATGGTTTTCATGGATTCGGTTCTGAAATTCCCTCTCAAAATCTGACCAAAGCCAAGAAAATATTATGGTGAAAATAGCCTTCGGCTTCAGTCTACCGCCGACTTCCGGTCTCAGTGTGCCAATTCCTGCAACGACCGCCACAGTTTCCTGGGAGGGAAGACCCCTCTACCACAGGAATTGCTCGGATCCTTGATGCCTCCAATACCGAGCAAACTATACCAGTCGTCCCAGGAAAATTTAAAACTCAGTCCCTGCACATGCACCTGATTCGTTTGCCTAGTGGAGTACTAGGATCGGTAGCATAATGGATAACACGCCACGATTCGAAGAATCCGGGGATAGAAAAAAATGAAAAGTTCGATTCCCTCCCAGTCTATATCGTTAATGTAAGAAGAGGCCTATTCACGATTTGCAGCAGCTTTTTTCGCAAGTACCATTCATTGATACGAGAAATACGTAACATATGTACAACAAAAATAAGTTGATGTCTTTTTTAGTGAAGGAGGATTCACATTGCAAATTTTCTGCAGCGTAGCCTTCTTCTACTATAGCAAGTAAAAATTTGATAGTTATAGCCATTTTCAAGATTTTAATTATCTAACTGGATGCTTTTTGAGGCAAAAAATGAAGATGATCAAAGAGCCGGCGAAACGGAAGAAGCCCAGGATACCGAGCTTACTTTGAGTATGTGAAAAAACGTTGTCACAGTTCCAAACATATTTTTCTTCGATAATAAATAATACTTATGCAAAGTGATAGCTGCCCGAGAGACATAATAATATCTGATAAAATAGAAGCAGAAAGAGCAGTAACGATGCCTAAAATACACCCGCCTCAGAAATCAAGGATTTCTGACGGTCTTATTTTTTTTTGGTTTACAGGTACTGAACTTTTCTGGAGTGCGCCAAACAAAATTAGAAATTTGACCCTCCCTTCGTACCCTTCTCCTTCTTTTCCTGACATCGGCCCCTTCTTTAAATGATCCTGAAATTCCGAATTCCTCCACAAATGTACGGAATTCCAGTCAGTTTCTACGGTAGATTTCGAAATTACCATAATTCAAGTTTCTTTCTCCGGCAGTGATAGAAAAAGAATCCAAGCGCAAAAATCCTTGATATCACAAGGCGAATGGAACATCCGTACGAGAATAACAAATCTCAAAGGCCAAAAAAATTTCATGGATAAAAAAACTGGTCCATAAGAAAGGCATTTAGTAACGTGATGATATTCTCGAAGCAAGAATCACAGATTTCGGAAAGCACAACTTATTTAAAAATATATATTGGTAGTGAAAGCAAATGAATGGCCAACAAGGAAAACGCCGTGTACAGAGGGATGGTTTTGCGCCATATCCCTGTTTGAACAGTACATCCATCACACATACATAGGCAAACACTAGCGTGGCCAAAATTTTCAGAAAAAAGACTGGTTCTTGTGCTAAAAAAGAACTTCGTTTGTTTTTATTCAGGATTAGCGCGATAAAAAATATTTATTACCAAAGCAAAATATAAATAATAAATAAAATCCCTGTACTGATATCGTTTGGACTATCAGCAAAATTTCCCGTATTACAGATATTACTGCTCAGTTATGCCATGTCC